TTTTTTTTTTTTTTTTTTTTTTTTTTTTTTTTTTTTTTTTTTTTTTTTTTAATGTTTACAAATTGTCATGAAAAAATTGATTGACAACAAAATTATTATTTTCCACGTCATTGTTTTTTTTAACGTACAATGTTCCATTGTCTCATTTTATAAGCTATTTCAACCTTACGTTTTTCACAATTACATAGAACTATACACAATTTCACATCCATTTGACTTGCTATGAATGACAAGAGTAGATATTTAAAAGCAAATGATTTATATATACATATATAAAAAGTGCGCTCTGCCACTGGTACGATTGTAATATTCGATGAAAAAAGTGCAAAAAAAAAAAAAAAAAAAAAAAAAAACGATACCCAATCCAAAGCGCTTTGACTTGATAATATTAAATTGTGGTCTGGATGTCTTCTCTATTTTAGGTGCTACAGCAAAAAGGCTCGCGTATGTAATACACGACGTCGTTTCGAATCTCGATCTTCGGCTGTTTTGTTAAATTGCGGCCGCTACTAAATTACATTAAGAGAAAGTCAAGGATCAGTATGTCGTGGGCAAGAATGACGGCAAACTGGAGGCACAACGACCAAGATCATGTTTAGGGTGAGAAGAAAAAACGCCTGTCGTTAACTCTGCAGTTTTCTTTCCTCCCTTCTGACGACAGACGAACACACTTGTACACGCTATTATATACAGAGTCACTCGTTGATTCCTACATTTTTATTCTTCTTCTCCTTATCGTCGCACGTGTAAGAAAGAAGACTGGGATCAGAGTATAAAAAATAATCAAAGAAAATTATCGATATTTTCTTGATACACACATTATTATTACTATTATCAATGATACGGGAGTGCGCTGTAAGCGCATATCCACGTAGAGACACTTAACGCACACGTTTACGTGATTATTTCATTGTTTATCTGTGGCTCTGTCATTATCTTTTTCTCCAGTGTTTATTCTCGCAATGTTCACTGTTTTTATTATTGTAATTATTATCATTACTATTATAAATTTTCTTCCATACGCTTTTTATCCAAAAATTTTTAACCATAAATCTTGATTTTAATATCTTTGTAGTATATTTCCAAAAACCTCTGTTTTTCATGCTCAAGTTTTTATAGTACTCCTACTTGTCGGCG